GGCTCGGCCACTGCCGCGAGCAAATCCGGAAAATCAGTGAAAACCTCCTCGACCACCAATAGCAAGGAGAAAAATAAATCTAAGTCTTCTAAAAACAAAAGCGGTTCCTCGTCAACCGATAGCACGCCTAAACGACGGCTCAACCCATTATCGGCTCTCAGGTCGCGAAAATCCTAAACATGAAGAGTCTTCGATAAGTTGATCCGGCATATTCTTATAATTTTATTAGCGCCAGTTCAACTAGAAATAGTTTCCAGTTCGATTTCGTTCAATTGGTCTTCTCTAACGATCAATCTGGCTTTTGATTACAATCGCTTGGAAAATATCAAAGTATTTTCTTATAACGCGTAAGTAGATTAAATAACGATATTTAAGATATTAATAGGTAATTAATATATTGACAGTGAAATTGATATTCGTTAAATTTGTATTCTTAGATTCTTTGATGGTGAGTGAAGGATTGTTAGTCTAGTTCTGTCATTCATGTTGCTGTTTCTTATGTGAATATTGTTGCTATGTTCCTTGGGCTTTCATGTATTAGCTCTTTCACGTTAAATTATGTTTTTGAAATATCGCAAAATTCTGAAATCTAACGTTTCACTTTATTCAAAATGATATTATTCGAAATATGAACCATCAAATTTAATAAACTTTAATTATTGTGAAACAAAATTATGATTTTTATGATTGTACTAATGAATACCGTAATAGTACATAGAACTAGTTCTTTTTGGGTAAAACACATGAATGGATCCTCCAGTCTTTATATATTTGTTGAAAGATTTTATTTATTTGTAAAATTAGATAGTTCATGTACAACAAACTAATATTTCAATTTTAAGATAATATAGATAATGTTGTATAGTTTGTTTTTGTGTCTGTATATCTATTAAAAAATTATTTTATTTACTTTAGATTTGATGATATTGAGAAACAGTTCTATCAATATAATCGTACGTTAAAGAAGTTAAAGGCGAGTGAGATTTATAGGTTTTTCATTACGAATTGTTTCGATAAGCGTTTATTACCGGTCTACATGAAACAATACTCATAAAACAAGCGTAATTGTGAATAACTATATAACGTCACTAATTACCAAATATAAAATTTCAAATAAATTAATTGTCGGATTATGTAAAATTGTCGTAGGTATATTGAAATGTCCAAGGGATATTGAAAATCAAATTATTGAAGCGTACTTCGGTTTTACACTTTTGTTACATATTCACAAAAAATTCTGTAGTTCTTTCATTTGTTAAAGAAAAATTATATCGTCATTACGTGACGCAGTGCCAATAAGTCCTTGTCATTTAACATTTTGAATATTTGTCTTGCTATCTTCATTAACGTTGAACGTTAGTCATATGTAGAGTACTTTAGTTTAGTTGATTACATATTTCGGGAACACGGCATACATATAACTTAATTAAAAAATTTAAAGTTGATATGTTTTCACCTACATATTTTCGACTTACTACCTAATATTAATTTTATGTTTGCTAACAGTACGAAAATTAAATCGTAGATATAGTTCACAACCTGCGCGATAATTAAACACATTTAAAAGACAGGTATACGTAGTTTCTATAGGTATACACACTTGTCGCTTTATAAACTATGTTACCGTAAATAACTGTTTCATCTCGTGTCACTGTGATCATAGAAATTAATTGTCTGATATTTAGTTATACAGTTTGATAGCCTGCAGTTCACCTATATAGGGTGACGTTAAATAAGAGGATGCGATGTAACTTGAAATTAAATAAGGAATTCCATCTTAAAGCACGGCTGAAGATAATTTTGAGAAGTTCATTACTGAGAGCGCTCGAATTTGGTACAAATTATTTCTAGTCAATTTGTATTCTTTTTTTTTATTCGCCCTAAGTTTATTCATAATACGTATTTCTACAAACGCAAGATTTGTATTTTACAATGTTTTAATATTATATAAAAACGAATAATATTGGTGGATATTTTAATTACATTATGATTAAAAATTATCTAGTTACTTTCAGTGCCATTTAAAAGAATAATTTTCGTAAATGTTTTAATATTATTTAAAACCTTCTAATCACTATTTATCGCTAAAGCGAACAGCTAAAGTTTCCTTTTTGTATTTAGTCTCGTATCACGCGTTTAATTTTCTGTAGAAGATTGAGCATGATTTGAATAGAATTACAATGGAACTTGGGAAGTTCCTCCGGTAGTCGCTAGTTTATACATAGTTACACACCAAGTTTCACGAAAGGATAAACGCGGAAAGAGGCGATTCGTATAGTGGATTACGGTGTACCTTGTGTACTCGCATCCGTCGTGTTTTGATTCCACGTGGAATACATCTGGTGTTACGCAGTTAAACAACTAGAGAGCTTCTGCGAAGCGTTAAAGCTGTGAGCATTAACTTTGCGTTCTGAATTGAAATTCTGATTGCAATTTCACTTCTTGAAATCATTGCGTTTAATTTTATGCGTTTCAAACGTAAATTGAACACTTTATCGTGAAATAAATATTGATCATATAATAGTGATCACAAAATAAAAATATAGCCCATCGATGCTTATCAGCTAATAGTATTGCATATTTCTATAAGAAAGATATTGAAATTAATTCGAGTGTTTTTTGAAACACATGTACCAAAGATTATGAACATTGATATTAACTTAGAATTTGAGATAGTTTTCTATAGTTTATGTCAGTATTTAAGCTACTAAAAAAATAAATAAATAAATATATGAGATTATTTAAGAAATTAAAATTTAAAAAGTAGCTTAAGGAATTTTTATTTACATTTTGCAAGATCTGATTAATTATACAATTTTAATTATACGTCGTTACAAACATTTCTTCCATTATTTCACTAAATTATATTTTAAATTGTTTACACACATTCTTTATGCGATATTACATATTTTCATTTCGTTGTCAAAGTTAAGGAGCAAATTTATTCAGAATGATTAAACTGATAAACATGTCTCTACTTTACATATAAATTGACGTAATTAAATATGAGTTACTGAAAACGATATTTTCTTTTTAATTAGGGCGATTTTTACGTATATTCTGATATCGCGTGTTGTATACAACATGTTAGGAATTAAAGTGTAGGTTACGTTGAATAATGGTATCTACATAATGGTTTACGTGAATATCTAGTTGCTTAATAAACCTAGATTCTACGAAAAGTGAATCGATTAGGAAAACATAATTTATTTGTAGATGTAGCGATGTAACTGCAAAATATTTCTCAATATATGGCAAGTATTAAAATATAGAATCGCAGTTCTCGAAAGTAAGAAGGGGGGTTCATATATATATGTGTGAATATATAACTTCTAATATATCTTTCATTATAAAGTTTCAATATAATCTCTATATATTCGTACCTGAACATCACAATCGGCTATTTTTGTTCTTCGATTTAAACAAAATTTATATATATATATATATATGACATTTCTTTTTATTATTTTTAGAATGTTAGTATAAAGTTGTCTCTAGAGTTAGGTGAACTATCAAGTAATTTCCAATGTCATTAATGGAAATGTATTTTTCCAATCCGCACTCATTAAATTCTTTTGCTACAATATAGACATAGCAAACATTTAAGATAAGCAAACCGACTCGTTTTTCTAAAAATGTTCGTAAGCAGGGTAAAATAGCTTTTTAATGATATTTGAAAATAAAGTCAATCCTTTCTAAAAAATATTCGTCCGTCCAATAGTTTTGATAATGACTTAATATCTAGTTCGCATTAGAATATGGAAACTATAGTATTACATAACGTTTGTATCATAATTTTGCCTACTTTGTGTGAATTAATTTCTTTTCATTTCTATTTTTTTTTTTTTTTTTTTTTTTTTTAATAATAACTGTATTATGCTAACGAATGATCGATGCATTAGTTGACTGTGAGATAAGTTAATTGGAAATTACTTATGGTTTCGCCTAATATTTTCGTTGACATTAGAAATCCATAGACATTAACGCTCTATACTTAAGTAAAATTCAGAGAGTAGAACAATAAATGTGAATTTCATGAACCAATAGGCATTAAGAAATGATAGAATTTCATCGAATTTCAATGTACTGGAAATTGAATTGCTAAAAGAATCGAAACTGGGTCAAATGTGGAGGTTTAATGCAAAAGATTGCTGTTCAATTTTGATATCTCCAAAGTTTTTTACGTGCAAATTATTAAATGTAGTTATCTGAAATGATATCTGATACTTTTGCGAATTCTTCGTAATATATAACGTAATTATATTAAAATTAATTATGATCTATTTTCTCCTTTTAATTAAACGATATATTACATTGCCAGACAATTCATATTTTAACAAATATTCTAAAAACAATGGTTTTATTAAAATTTTATACCTAGATGAAAATACATTTGTCCATTCATTTTTTCTTTAATTAATTTCCAAGCTAATTTTTATGAAATTGTATGTTCGAAACTAATGAAATATATGGATTTTGTCTTCAATAAACCGAAAAAGTACGAGAATAATCTCATATTAGGAAATTACGTTTATA